TGTACGAATACTTATGAACTTCACTGTACAAAGTGTCTCAGAAAAGGTGTTAGAGCCGAAGGGAAGTGAGTCTGTAATTGTTTCTGAACAACAATTTCCAAAATACAAAGTGAGTTTTAAATTATTAACGAAAAACACTGACCAGTAAGAGCACATGTAGGGCCCGCGCTAAGCCACAGCCGAGCGTCACAATCCCAACCAACCTACCCGCAGCTGGACGTAGACCCTACGCGCCTCTTATTGGCCAGTGCTTCTCGTTAATAATTCAAAAATCATGGCTCACTTTGCATTTTACCAAAGGAAATTCTTGTTCAGAAACATCTCCAGAATCATCCCTTTTCGGCTCTAACACTTTTTCAGGGACACCCTGTGTGTACGTTTATAGGATCGTTTTAAGTACCTAAAAATTTCTTCCTGCTGAAGACATCGACGCCCATGAGCAAGATAAATTCCGCGAGTACATAACTGAGACACAAGTACACAAGCAACTTGAAACGTTCCGTGCCTATTTCTTTACAGTTGCGTAAATATTCCAGCGCCAAACCTTGCATATCCGCGACGCAAGTGGTATTTTTAATCGGAGAGTCGTTTATGTATTGTTGCACGTGAATCAGATGCGTGCACCAGAGCGCAAACCAAGCGTATCTGCGTTTAAGAGAAGCGAACATCGGACTTACGGACAAATGGCAAACAATTGATAGACCGCGGATGTTTACGCGTTTCGCGGAAAGATCCGCGGTCCGACAATTAGTTACCCGGGGTACTGGAGAAAATTGATAAACACCCCTATGAAAGTCTTTGACTTCATATGTTTGACAAACAACTTTTCAACGCGCTTCTGTGACTTCTGGTAGAATTTCTGTACCTCCTTGATCAAGTCCGATTCCAAGGGTTCCTCTTCATCGTCCGCTCGCACGCAGTTATCTAATTGTGCCATTTGTACCTGAAGAATATAATACAATAAGAAGAATGGGGTATAAAAATATTGTCACGATGGAAAGAGCGCCTATTTTAACACTAAACCTGCCAAAGTAATCCAATGACCGCTTTTGAGACTTTAATTATAAACGTTTCTTAATTAATGTAAAGGAGGTAGTACCTGGACACTTTTGAACATAAATTTTTTATAATGTTTTTTCCTACGAAATTTAAGCATAGTACATGAAAACTTATCATCTTAGCAGATAGCTGGG